TTGTTAGGTTGGTGTGATAGTGGTTTTTGTGCTGATGTGCACAGACTTAACATGTGTTGGGCTTTTTCGGAGTTTAAGTTGTTTCTGTTGTGGTGGTTATAACTTTGTCATTGGGGTGCACACACTGATGTTCGTGTGTGCTCACCGGTGCGCCATTTGCTTGGTAAAACATACTTGCTTTGTTAGTGTGTGGTTTATGTAGTTGTGTAAGTTGGTGTTCTCTTTTTCGCAAACCTGTGATTGACTGTTCTCTGTTGTTGTTTTATGCTGGTGGTTGCAGCCGTTGGTTGTTCGGGTGATCGAGAATGCATAGGCTGCGGCCACATCTATGCTTCGGTTGATGCAGGTTTTACAGGAGGCTTATGGTGCTGGGTCTGATTTGCAGACAGATAGTTTGGTCCAGGTGTTAGATGTGTCGCGCGTGATGCTCGGTGTTGGTCATGCCACTAGGGGATCTACCATGCCTTCTCAGCAGACTTCACAGTCGTTGTTCACGCCGTCTCAGGATGCGATCTGGGCTGACCTTGCGAATTTGCGTGCTCTCGAGGAGGTTGAGCGAGCGATCCAGTTGCGGAATGCTATGCATGATATTCCATCTTTTAGCTTGGGATTGACGCAGGATTTTCATGTGCAGCAGGGGGCTGATGTTTTGGAGGTTGCCCATCAGTATGGGTCAGGTGATGTGGCTGGTGGTTCTCCGCCTGGTTGTCCATTGCGTGTCCCTGATGCTGCAGTAAGTATTGTCTACAAGCGTAGGAAAGCTAAGGGGGCGGGTTTGTAGGGTTGTGTACTGGGGCTTTGTTTTGTTGTTGGTGGGATGTTTCTGTACTTGGTGAGCAGTCTCCTTGTACTGTTTTTTTACTGTGCTGCGGTAGTTGTATAGTGTTGATAACTTTTTGTTTTGTACTATGCACATGCAGCAAGTTATTGTACTTGGTTTTAGATGTTATATATCTTGTTTCGTATTAGTTATGTTCGATCCGGTCGTTGTGTTTTGATTTTAGATGAGACTTGCAGAATGTGTGTGGTCTTTGTGCATGTTTGGTTTGGCCGTGGGAATTACACGATTGCTCCTTGTGGTTTTAATTTTGGAGTTTTTCTTGCCCATTTAGTATTGTTAAGTTGTGGGGGGGGGGGGGGGGGTGCTTCGTCCCGTTCACAATGCTTATGTGGTTGGTGCATGAATATGTTCTTATGCATATGCACAGGTGCACACACAGTTCTGTCACTTTGCGTGCACTTGCGTAATAACGTATGTGCACGTGCTTCTAGTTCTGAAAGTACACCTAGGTATTTATTTTTTTATTTTTTGTTCTTCAGCCTTTGCATGGCGCGTCAATGCATGCTGCTGTTGGCATCGCGAATTCACCATCTAGGGGAATTGCTTTGCCAGTAGGTAGTGGAATTGTTGGCGGGGTGTGTTCAATGGCTTGCGATCTGCAAGTGCTTACCCCGGCAACGGTATTTTTCTTTCTTATAATTTTTTTGTTTGTGCTATGTTTTCGTTGGTGGTGATTAATATTTGTATGTAGCAAATTATGCCGCGTGTTGGGGATCTATCGGCTCAAGTATGTGCTCCTCAGTTGGCTGCTCCGGTGAAGACGCGGCACCCTCACGCGGTTGGGGGCTCAGTACGAGGTGGTGATGGTTTGATATCCAGATATTTGCCTAGTGTCCCTGATTCGCATGTGTTTTATGACTAGATCGTGGACAATCCCTGGGCTCACATGTAAGTTTTCCTCTTTCTGCTTTTGTTGGGTAACTGTTTGTGTGGTTGCTTATGTTATGTGTGTGTTATGTTTTTGTTCCAGCGACGAGGAATTATTCAACTACAACGGGTGGGCAGCGACACGTGAGGATTTGTTGTCCTTGAAAATTGGATCTCAGCTGCGTGTGGCCGTAATTGATAGTTGGTCATGTATTTTGAACGTAAGGGAGTTGGCTCGGACGGACGGTGCTCCTTGCAGATTTTTTGCTTCGATTGAAACTACGGTACGTTCACTTCTATTGTTGTTGGTCTTGTTTTAAAAATATTGTGATATGTAGATAAATCCGGTTTGCGATTTTGTGTTGTGGTTATGTGTAGCTCAATACAGTGGTGTCTCAATCTCAGTCACGTGTACGTCGACTTGATTGGTTCTCTCAGCGCATGGAGGCGGGTTTAAAGTTGTCTCCTTATGCTTCATGGCGCAGCATTAACATGGTATTTGTAATTGTTTGTCTGTTTTCTGTTGTGTGGTGTTGCATTAGTTCTCTGTGTGGTTTTGTGTCCGTGTGGGGGTTAGATTAATGTGTATGTCTGTCTTGTTTTTGGGGGAGTAAGTATGGGGGTACACCTGATGTGCTGGTATGTTATTGAATTCCCACTGCATGTAGTTTTGGTTATGTTGTTTGCTATTCGTTGCGGGCAATATTGTGCTGCACTGTATCCGACTGATGTGTATACGCACACAGTTGCCTGTTGGGCACACAGTTGTTCTCTGAGGTGCACACGGTGTGCGCCTACGATTCTGTGTTTCTGTGGGGGTTATATGCTTTGGCACACACGGATACTTCAATGTGCTCACACTGTTGCTTAGTGGGTTTCATTTCCCATCACCTGTGTTTTTAGGCATGCTGTTTGTTGTGTTTTTTTTTTTCCTGTTGCTTCCTAACGCTGTTGTGCCCTTTGACAGAAAGATTTCTTGTCTGTGTTCCTTGATGACGTGGTTGACGAACGATATGGGTATATTGTACGGAGAATTATCCCTAGGAGAATGCAGATGCGGTGGCGGGATGTGCATAACAAAGTGGACTGTGGAGTCTTTGCTATGCGGCACATGGAGTGTTTCTTGGGGCAGCCCGTTAATGCATGGGATTGTGGTCTGCACAAGGGGGATAGTGGTGTCCTTGATTTGCTTAGGGCAAGTTATATGTGTCAAATTTTGACGGCCGAGTTGAACGTTCACCATTCGAAAAACATTCGAAGTGCTGTTGAATATCGTGACGATGGGGGTGCAACATAGATTTGTGTGTAGCTAGTCCGTTATCTATTTTTCTTTGTTTCTTTGCTCGTGGTATTATGGACCTTATTTTTTGATTCATTTGACACATTTTTCTCTAAATAAATGGTGCGGTGATGTTCGTTGGTGTTAGATTCCCAGTTTATACGCGTGCTAATTAATTTTTGAGTATAGTAATGCTTGCTACGCTGTTATTAATTCTTGGGTATAGGAATGCTTGGCGCCACGCGTTTGGGTCATATGTGCAGCGGTGCACAGACACATATAAGTATGTGCTCACGCAATGTCTAGCTCGGCACACTCATACCTTTACATGTGCACACACCAGTATTCTGGTCGGGTGCCGGGTAGCACCCCCGTACCCGGTTTGATGTGTGTGGCACATTCTGTTTACCAGGAGTGCACATTGCTATGTACATCTCCTACTAAAAAAACTGCATCTGGAACATTTTTTTTTCAATGATTCATGATATCACGTATATAGATATGTGTTGAAACAAATTCGGTGACAATTATTCGTACAGTAGTGCAGTAGGACTTGATGGCACACACGTGCAGTCTCAGGTGCTCACTGTTAGCATGTGGTCTCACTCCATACAATACTACAGTAATACGGTTTGGGGAAACAATACTGCACTCTAGTGTCGTTGGGAGGCACCTAGTATTGTGGTGAGGTGCACAAGAGCCCCCCTTAGCCAGTTGATGTGTGTGGCACACTCTGATTACTGGGGGTGCACATTGCCATGTAATGCTCCTATTACAAACGCAACATCTCAAACATTTTGTGTGTTTCACGGATACATGATGTCACATATAAAAATATATGGAAAAAACAAATTCGGTGACAATTAGTCGTACAGAAATACACTTATAAAGAATGAGGTTAATAAACTGTTATGCATTAGGGCTGGATGGCACACACTGTCCATCTAAGGTACTCACTATCAGCATAAGACCTCTTTCCATTAGTTTTTATTTTTTATTTTTTATTTTATTTTTTTGTTTTTGGTTTTTTGGTGGCATCTGGCAGTTGCGGCTATCCTTATGTTCATATGCCTAGAGATTTTATCAACCCGGTTGGGGGGGGGGGGGGGTTGGTGGTGGTGGGTATGGGGGACTCACCTTGTTAGTTTGTTATTAATTCTTTCGTGGGGTAATTCTTGGTGCCATGCATTTGGGTCGTATGTTCATAGGTGCACGGACACATACAAGTATGTACTCACGCAATGTCCAGCTTGGCACACTCAGGACTTCACATATGCACACACATGTATGCTATACCTTCATCCACCGCACAATCTGCTATTATTTGTTGGCCGCCATTTACATCGCCACGTATCTATTGCTGCCAAATAATATTGGCGGTCGGGTATTCATAATCAATTGCAATAAAATCATGTTGGGGCAAAATACTACACTCTAGTGTCGTTTGAAGGCACCCAGTACTGTGAATGGGTGCACACGAGCACCCTGTACCCAGTATAAGGTGCGTGGCACACTCTGTTTACTAGGGGTGCACATTGGCATGTACATCTTTCATGGTTTCATAATGTCACGTGTATATATATATATATATATATATATATATATATATATATATATATATATATATAACAGGTTTGGTGATAATTATTCGTACACAAATACACTTCTAAAGAATGATTGTAAAAAACTGGTATGCAGTAGGGCTGAATGGCACGCACTGTCCATCGCAGGTGCTCACTATCAACATATGGCCTCTTTCCATTAGGCAGCTTTTTTTGTTTTTTGTTTTTGGGTTTTTTAGTCGCAGTTCGCAGTTGCGGCTACCATGGTGTCCGTATTTGTTGCAAGTCCAACATTTCCTTACATCCTTTGCAGCTACATCCGATTCGATTTCCTTTATTGATTTCAATCGCTTTCCCGAACCTTTGTTCTTTGCAATGGCGGGGGGGGGGGGGGGGGGGGGGGGGTGAACCAAAATGTTTGGTGTTGAGGTTGACCCACAGAAGCTACGTATCATACCAGTTTTCTTTGCTCTAGTTTCCATTTGCGGCGATCAGTGTTACCGTACGCGTTCCCAACACACTTGAAGAACTCATCGAATACGGTACCCATTCGCGTACCCCCACTTAAAACTTCTGTAGGCCCGCCTTGTTCGGGGTTTGCATAAAGCTGTGCGTATGGCCAACATGTAGTGCGAGTCCATCGTGGAGTGATATATTGTCCTGGTATTCTTTCTAAACGTGCATCCTTAAACGCCAACAACAGATGCCTACACTGTAGCCCAATCCTATTGAACATGTTGCATGTGCAGTGTGTTGCCCGGGTGGAAGAATTGTATTCCACTGAGTGCATCATCTTGTTTGTATCCTCTATTTCAAGTCTGACAGTGTTTCCTTCAACTGTTTTGTTAATGATTTGGGATGAGAAGCATGCTTCAAGTATCTCTTTTTGGACATCATAGAACATAGCGATTGTATATGTTGTAGCAGCTTGACGCTCTAGCAATAAAGTTGTCTTCAACTCTGGGAATTTGTCCTCACAATCTGCGTTTAGCCTTGTTTGGGTGTGGCGTTGTTTGTTTATTGCTTTCTCAAACTTTATGAAGAAGTCCGTTAAACTAGATGTGGGGAAGTGCAGCTGTTGAAGACGTTGTTCTCCGATTCCGACCTTGAGGTTGTTTTCATTAAGCCACCCATGAACATGTCGTTAAAGAATGCTGGTATCCAATATTCACGTATCTCAAACAAGTGGGTAAACCATCTGTGGTCAACCAGTTCATGTTTTTCCATTACTGTTTGCCATGCTGCTTCAAACTCACTAATTATTTGCGTCTCATTCCAGACCACACTGTTTAGGCTTCTTAAGAAATCTTCGTTCCTTGCTAATGTGGGCCCTACCTTTTCGCAAACCTTTGTCATGATGTGCCACATGCAGTATCTGTGGCGTGTTGTATCAAAAACACGCGATATTGCCACTCTCATCGCTGGATCTTGGTCGGTAACTGTGCACGTGGGTACTCTACCCATTGCCGTTTTGAAGTGTTCGAGCAGCCAGGTGTAGGAGTCCAAATCTTCTTTGGCAATTAATCTGACTGCAAATGTCACACTCTTTTTGTGGTGATCCATCCCGGTGAATGGCACGAACACCAGCTTGTACCTGTAGTCATCACATGGTGTATAAAAATTTAATGGTTAGTTACTAAGTGGGGGTGGTGACAACCAGAAAGCCGTAGCAGAACTAGCTGGTTTGTGTTACTAGATGGCTGTGTGCACTACTAGCCTCTGGGGGTGTGCACATCTGGCCCCGACTCTGTGCCCGACGGGGTCAGACTATGTGCCCCACTCAGCAGGGTCATGCCCAGTCTCCATGGTATATTGTAGTGCAGACAGCACTCACCCTTAATGGGTGTGCACCCCGACTGGGCCTGCCATATTGGAGACCATTTGTGGTGCCAGGGCAACCATTCGCACTAATTTTGTGCACTCAATTTGTAACATCATATGTGAACATGTGTCCATGAGATCATAAAGGGAGGCGTAGGGTGTGGTATGTACCTGTTTGTACTGTATGTGGCGTCGAAGGACAAAACATCGCCGAATAGTTTGAAATTGTGTCGAGCTTGTGGGTCTGCCCAAAATATTCGACATAGTTGGTCAAGCTCATCAACATCGTGGGCAAAATAGAAGTCGGTGGACACTTCTTTCTTTGCCATGTACTTGTCAATCACTAATTGGGCATCTGCGCCTTCTATGTACGCCATTATATCTCTTTTGTAATTCCTGAAATCTGTTACTGTTAGGAATAAAGTGTAATGGTTTTGATATGCCAAATATGTATTTTTAGATCCCCGAAATTTTATTTCATAGGTCTAATAGAGTCTAAGACCATGATCGGGAAATTATTTAAATATGAAAAGAGAAAAACAGAGGAAGATGGATGAAAATAGAAGAAGGAGATATAAAGCCTAAAATCAAGAATTTGTCTGGAGAAAATGACAAATTGAAGAAGAAGATGAATGATACAATATTCACGTCGCTACTACTCAAAGAAGATATCCCAGAAGAATTTTCGTGAAGAAGATTAAGATTGGAAGAATGCATGAAATTGACTTGGAGATCAAGCATCTATGGAAAGAAAGGAGTACATCAAATGTGATTGGAGATTTAATCAAAAGTTGTAAGGACGAAATGGATGATGCTTGATATATTATGTGAAATGGCTTAAGTTTGAAACTCACCATCAACAATTTTACAAGGTAACATTTGAGAAGCCAAATTAAATTAATCTGATGGAATTGGGCGCTAGTTTAAGCTTTGGGCGCCGATTACAAGTGGAAATTGGGAAGCAATTTCACTTGGTGGCAATTGAGATGCAATTGCACTTGGCTCCCAATTCCTTTGAATTGGGAGCCGATTTCATTGGGAGCCAGTTTCAGAGAAATTGAAATCAATTGAAATTGCGAGCCAGTTTCAGAGAAATTGAAATCAATTGAAATTGCGAGCCAGTTTTAGAGAAATTGAAATTGGGAGAAATTGAAATTGCGAGCCAGTTTCAGAGAAATTGAAATCAATTGAAATTGCGAGCCAGTTTTAGAGAAATTGAAATTGGGAGAAATTTGGAGCAAGTTTAAATTGCGAGCCAGTTTCAGAGAAATTGAAATCCAATTGAAATTGGGAGAAAGTTTAAATTGCGAGCCAGTTTCAGAGAAATTGAAACCAATTGAAATTGGGAGAAATTGGGAGCAAGTTTCACATGGGAATCAATTCAAGATGGGAGCCAATGTATAGATCAAATTGAATTGATATGAAATTCAATACCATAGCTTCACATGTGAATCAATTCAAGATGGGAGCCAATGTAGAAGTAGAATTGAAATTGGGAGCCAAGTAGAATTGAAATTGGGAGCCAATTGAGGTTAGATCAAATTGAATTGATATGAAATTCAATACCATAGCAAGCTAGTTCGAAGCAAGCAATTGAAATTGGGAGCCAGTTTCAGAGAAAGTGAAATCAATTGAAATTGGGAGCCAGATTCAGAGAAATTGAAATCACATGGGAATCAATTCAAGATGGGAGCCAATGTAGAAGTAGAATTGAAATTGGGAGCCAATTGAGGTTAGATCAAATTGAATTGATATGAAATTCAATACCAGGAGAAGTCTGGGAACCAATTTCGAAGTCAAAGTCAACAATTCAAATTGAGAAGCAATTGAAAGCACCGGGAGCAGTTTGGGAGCCAATTGCAAGTCAAAGTCAATTGGGAGCCAATTACAATGGAGAAATTCAAATTGGGCCAATTGAAATTGGGTGTCAATTACAAAGGAAAAATTCAAATTGGGTGGAAGTTCAAAGCCAGTTTGAAATCTGAGAACACCCAGACGTGATAATGAAGAAGATGAAGATGAACTTACAGTGAAAATATTCTCACTAGGAAAAATACTAGTTTTAACTAGTATGGGATTAAATTGATGAATATTTTTAAATCCCAAAGGTACAAGAACCACTTCAGAGCTAATCAGAGAAGCCGTTCTACACCCAGATATTCCCACTCAACGTAAAACCAGAGGAAATATCAGATGAAGTTTGGGAACCCATTTACATGGAGATGAAGCTCTAACAACGGCTAGGTTATCCTTTCTGACATCTTTGCAGAAGATAAGATAAGATCTCTGACAAAAAGATACAAGATTTCAAAAATGAGAGCGTCTCTTTCCAACGGACAGATTCTCATTACCAGCTATAAAATGATGAAGATATGAAGACTTGAAGAAGTGTGAAGAGGAATAGAGCAGTTGAGAAAATTTGAATCAATAAAAGGGATCGAATAGAGCAATTAAGCTTGAAAGAGCATAGAGCAAAAATCTCATTTGGTACAGAGCATACCAAAAATCTTCAAGTGAGAAGTGAGAAAAGAAAAAGAACTCAGAGAGCTTCAAAAGAGAAATATTCTGAGAGTTCTTAAACAGAGCAAAGCAGAGCAAAAATATCAAGTGCTTTACTTGATATATTCAAAGAGAGAAAACACTCAGAGCTATCAAGAGAAATCATTCCAGAGTGTTTATCTTCATCAAAGAGACCTGCGCATCATTGAAGATCATCTACAGAGTCTCAGAAGTTGGAAGCAAGACAACACTTGTTTTGGAGCAAAACATGAGAAGGGAGGAAAGTAGCACGGAGCTGTGAAATCCTGGATTGTCACACGGAGCTGTGAGATCCGAAGCAGCAGTGTCGGAGGCACTGGGCGTGATTGGTGTGGGCTTGGTGATCAAAGCACCAGATCACGGGATACGTTTCTACCGGAGTGTGGAAGACGGGGGGAAAGTAACGCGGAGTCGTGAAATCCTGGGATAGTAGCGCGGCGACGTGAAACCCGAAGCAGCAGTGTGGTGTCACTGGGCGTGATTAGTGCGGGCTTTGTGATCAAAGCACTAGATCACGGAAATTCATTGTATCTTGGAACCAAGGAGTTGTAGATATAGTGAATTGCTCTTGGAGATAAGAGCAAGTGGAGTAGGAGGATTACACCACCTCGCGAACCACTATAATTGTCTTGTGTTCTTTACTGCTTTCTTTACTTACCGCTCTTTACATATTCGCTCTACACGAAATATACGGCTCACACAATCTCACACACACTTTATGTTTATTTATTTCCGCTGTGCACCATACTCTAACGAGTTTTGGTTTATCTCTGGCTTAGCAATTGTTGTGCTGTGCGAAAAAGTTTGAAAGTCTATTCACCCCCCCCCCCTATAGACTTTCACCTTACCTCTTTTGGGACAAACAATTGGTATCAGAGCGGGTGCCTATCCGAGTCAGAATTTGTCTCTAACTGATACCAACAATTGGTATCAGAGCCTGTAGCCTATTTGAGTCAGTTTGTACCATCCTTTGGTATTTAAACACGTTGGCCAACTGGGTTAACTGTTTTTGACTGCTAGGCTGATCCATTCTACAAAGTGTGTGAATTGGATTAATCTTTCATATCTCTCGTGATGATGATGAAGAAAGATTTAGCTCAAAATCTATTATTCTCACTTGATAAATTTGATGATTGGAAAGTTCGTATGCAGGTACACTTATCGGCTTTACACGATGAAATGTGGGAAGTTATTTCCACTAGCCCTATCGAAATATTAAAAGTCAATATGGCGTTTGTCCTATCCCCGGATGCTCCACAGTACGTACAAAAGCCAAAACTGGAATGGACATCGGACGATAGAACTCGGAATAATCTTGACAATATTGCCAAGGATATTATATTCAAAGCCGTTGATCATACAATATTTCCGAAGATCCGAAAGTGTGCCACTGCCAAAGAAATATGGGAAACTCTCATCAAGATTGGCGAAGGAGATGAACAAGAAAAAGACAATAAGCTCACAATCGCCATGAAGAAGTTTGAAGATTTCAAAATGCTCTCAAATGAAAGTGTTGCAGACATGGAAGCTCGAATGATCAAAATTCTTGGAGAGATTAGTGATCTTGGCAAAAATATTAGCCAAAAAGAAATTAATCTCAAAATTCTACGAGGCTTACCATCTGCATGGGATATGAAGGTTACGGCTATGCGCGATCACCGAGATCTAAGAATGTTGTCAACAGACAAATTATTTAGTGATCTAAAAGCATATGAGTTCGAAATGAAGGCCAAAGATGATGATGTTCATGAAGCTCGAAATGCTGCTCTAATGGCCGAACAACCGTCAACCTCCAGGTCAGTAGAAAATAATGTTGATTTTATGACTGACGAACAGTTTGCTCTTTTTGTCAAAAAGTTTAGAAGGTTTATGCGAAAAGGAGACAACAAAAATTCTGCTCGTGGAAAATTCATCTCTCGCATAACACAAGAAGAAAAAGTCGAAGAAAATAAGGATTTGTGCTACAATTGCCGCAAACCCGGACATTTTAAAATAAATTGTCCGTATCCGATCGTTAGCAAGTATCAAGGCAAAAATGTTGAATCTACGCCGAACAAATCCGAAAGCAAAAGGTTCAAGCGCGACAAAAGAAAAGCTCTCGTTAGCAACGAACCAAACGAAAATGATGATTCAGAGGATTCATCATCAAGCGATGAAAGTTCATGTTCGGATGATGATACGGCGCTAGTATGCAAGTCAATTGAGTTGAGTACAAGTGAAGATTGTCTTATGGCTCTTGACGCAGAGGAAGAAGATGTAACATCTAATTCTTTCAATTATGTTAATTCTTCTTTTTTCTCATGAATCTATTGACAATCTAATGCGAGAATGTCAAGAGATTATGCTCACTCATCCTCAACTCAAGGAGCGCAATAATATTCTAATTCTTGAAAAAGAATAAATGAATAAAAAATTGCAAGATGCTTTACTTGAAGTGAGTAAATTGAAGAATGAAAATATTCATCTTCAAGAAGAGTGTAAAGCTAGAGAGGTTAGAGAACATAATCTTAGAGCTACTATTGCTACGTTCACTAATTCGTTTAAAATAATAGATAAAATGGTGAGCATGCAAAAGCCATCAGGAGATAGAACCGGAATTGGTTATGACTCCGCATGTTCTCAAACCCCTCAAAATCTGACGAATTCTACTACTACTTTAAATAATAAAGTTCAAGTGGTAAAATTTGTTAAAAGTCAGAATAGCACGATGAGACAAGGACTTGGCTATCAAACAAATGCAAAGTTGAAAGTTGAAAGGCCGAAACAATTCTATGATACGGCAAAACAACAAAAATTCATCAAGCAAAGATATGCCAAAGAGTCAAGTGCAAAAAGATTT